TCAAGCAGGTTAAATACCATTTACTATTTGAACTGCTATATTGATGGCTGGAGCAAATAGTTTTGCTCAGCAGCGTTCTCCGCAAATTTATTTTTTATCTTGCAAACAAAATAAACAATATATTAAAATTAAAAGTCGTCATATTGTCTATTTAAGTTTCAGTTAATTAACTTTAAGTTCTTTTTTTAATAATAGCAATATTTTTATCTTGTTTTGTGATAAACATTCTTGCCTTTAAAAATATGAGACTTTACCAAGTACACTATTTAAATACAAAAACTACAATTTAAAATAGACCGAATATAAATTATAGAATATTTTCATTATGCTGCTGATAAATACGAAGCATTTTTTCTCACTTGGTGATGATAAAAGTCTTGTTCCCGAATCAAATAGATTATTTCGCTTTTACCCATTTTTATCGTTACACTTTCAGTATTTCTAAATGTAAACTTATTTTTAAGTACAGTTGATAATTTTTGAAATTCAGGTAATTGTTTATTTCATTACGATTTCAATATTAACAAGTTGTTCTTACAAGAAATCATAATAACTACATGTAGTTTATCAGTGAAATGTTCTTTGTTTCTTGTGGAAAATATTGACCTCTAATAGCAAATAATGAGGAATGCGAATTAATTAAGTGGGTCGGTGAGCGGAGTTTCCTTAAATTTTTAGACTATTAATATTGTTGGATAGGAAGTAAAGTATCATTGGCAAAAATTGATAGAAATTATTGCATTATGTGTCGCGATTTTCATGGTATCTGATGAAAAAAGTATCAATTAAAAAAATTAAAAATAAGGGAAAAATAATTGCCTAAAATACATACACCGAAGAGCCATTACATTATGACCACCCTGCTAATAACATGTAGGACCACCTTTAGCCCTCAAAACTGCTAGCACTCGCCGTGGCATTGATTCCACAAGGTGCTGATAGGTAGTCTGAGGTATCTGGCACCAAGCGCTCACCAACTGGTTCTGAAATTCCCTCACATTGCGAGTGGGTAGCGTGGCAGCACGAATTTGGTTTTCCAAGTAGGATCACAAATGCTCTATTGGATTAAGGTCAGGTGAATTTGGGGGCCAAGACATGACTTGAAAGTCACTGGAATGTTCCTCGACGACTCGACCCTTATGAGATGGTGCATTATCCTGTTGGAAAACACCTTCCCCCGAAGGAAAAACTGTTGCCATGAATGGGTGAACCTGGTCTGCAACTATGTTCAAGTAGCTTACAGACGTCAGGGATTGTTCTATGACGATTATGGGTCCTAATGTGCCCATGAAAACATTGTTTCTGGGCGAGAAACTATGAAAACCTGGGCGAGCCCATTGTTATAGATGGAGGATAGTCATAATATAATGGCTCTTCGGTGTATAATTGGTTCAGAAAAAGTATAGGTGATTAATTGTTTTTAAAATTACACATTCTTTAGTAACTATACATTTTTATGAACTATTTTCAATTTTGAAATGTCACCGAATTTTAAGTTCCTTACTTTCTTCTTGAAAGGCTTCTTACTTGCTTCTTACTTTCTTCTTGCTATTTAGGGAAAGCTGGGGCCCTGGACTAAATACAAATTAAAAACTCAATCGTTTTCACTTTCAATGTAATTTTTACCGTTTTTATTTTAATCTCGTATCTGCACTATATGATTTTTACTAAGCGCCCAGATTCTAAATTTATCTGATAAGTACCCAGTGATGAAGAAGGTGATTAGTATGCTGCTTCTACTCATCATGGTGTATATTGGTATGGATCGAATTTTGCGCACAAGGGTGTGAATGCTGCCTTAGAGTGTTGGTTGGTTTGTTTTTATCACGGAAGTTTTCATTGTGCTTTAAAGTATGTATTGTCATGTCTTTACTTTTTGGTCTTTTTGGAAAAAAATAAGATTAATCATTAAGCAACAATCATTAAGGCACAACCCTAAATAAAGTGCAACATTAAAATATCAAAACCCTTTAAAAACAAACATTAAGAGAGCCCCAGACAAGTTTCTTTTCTGCCTATGCGGTAATCAGACCCTGATTTTTGAGATATTTTTTTTTAATTTTATGCTCAATGATAGTGCGCGAATTATCAATATGTATATTACTTGAAAATTATTATAAGGGATAAAAAAAATCAGGGAAAATAATTTAAAAAACAAACTTAATTAATCTAGCATAATGTAAAATTTTTGCAACAATAAAAGTTTTGGAGAGATAAAAATAAGAACAAAACAAATAAAATCACCTTCCCTTCCCAAATGTTATCAACGTTATATGAATTATAAACTTACTGCACATGTTATATTAATTAGAATCCCAGAATTACTCTATTTTGCACAATTTATATATGGGTCATTCTCACTGAAAAGGTATAAATAGACTAAAAAATTTTCTTAAACTAAAGTAATTAAAAATGTGCTAAAAATTACATAAATGTTTTTATTTATTTTTGTTATATGTCCTTATAATAATGGTCAAGTTTTCTATTTTATTTTGCAAGATTTAAAATATTTTAAATTCTGCCTTGTCCACGGAGGAGATGTAATAGTCAACGGAGGAGACATTTTATGTTATAAAATGTCAATGAAGACTAATTCAATAATTATTGGGTACAACTGACATGAGTTTAGCATTAATAATTAAATAATAAAATATTTCATTATTAGAGATAGAGCTACTTCCGATTAATCATGCTGCTATGAAAGGAAACATCCATTTTTAACCTAGGTGTACAATTTTTTAAGTAACTCTTACTGAATATTAATAAATTAAAATGTAAAGATTATTGAAATAAGAATTCAGACTCCACATGAAAGTTGAGTGTTGAGGGTACTCTTTTATGAACATTTTATGCAAGTCAAATATACTGTCATCCAAATAACGTTTTTGTTTTTTCTTTTTTCTTCTTGTTCGTTTCTTTTTTCCCTGGGCACAAACGGCTTGCTCTATCAATTTCTAGAAATTTAAGCACATTTAATCACGATTTTTCTGTTAAATCTTTTTCTGATACAGATTTTAAAGTTTCTTGCTCTTTTTTCTTCTTTTTTTTTTAAATTTTCTTCAAACAATATAGGGTTTTCTTTTAATTTCTGTCTAGCTTGTCTCATGCTAAATTTTTTCTGTTCCCTTCTCTTTTGCATTTGAACATTTGATTGCTTTCTTTTTTTGCATTTTGGTTTCGCCATTTTTTTCCTAAAATTTGAAGAGAAAAAAAAATGTTTAACATCACAGAAATTATTTAGAAACATTGCCAATATTTACTTCTCCGATAAGAAAAAGTTAAACTTCATTGATTTTCTTTAAAAATACAAACAAATTAACACATTTGTTCCATTTTGAAAAATATCACTTAAAAGAAAATAGTTTTTTAATTGTATTATGGTTATCTAACACATTGTCTCTTCCATTGACTGTGTCTTCTCCTCCGTGAACTTGTTATGTCCACGGAGGAGACAAAAACTAATTCTTGAATTTTACTGATTTTTAATTTTAAAGTTAGAAAAATGGGGTAGTTCTTTTTATTAAATATACTATTTTTGCAATCCAAAATTCATCTTACAAAAATAAAATAATTTTCTCTTACCTTCTTTATGATGGCCACGGAGTACACGGTGAGAACTTTGCCAAACCCCAGTTTAACACAACAATCCAAAACTGACACCAAAGAGAACAAAAACAACTGATAGTTAACTTTAGAAAATGAAATGGTTACCTTTCCCAGCAGCTGTCTTACAGGGATTTCGCATATGCTGCTCTTTATTGCATATTTACCGAACTATATTAATTGACCATGGAGGGAGATTTCATTTTTGATGGACAAAGTTTACTAGTCATTTATTTTATAAAAACAATTTTTTTTTAAATATCAAATAAAAAGTTACTATAAACATTTAACTAGGTAAAACTACAAAAATCATTAAAATAATATTTAAATTGTTTAACAGCCATTAAAAATTATTTTGTGTCACAGACGTAGGCACGTCCACGGAGGGGATTTTGAAGTTATGTTTATTAAAAAGTAAGAATGAAATATTAAATACATTTAGCAGAAATGCATATGATTTGTTAGTTAGAACTTTACAAAAAATGATGAAGAAAAATATTAAGAAATCTGCTGTATTTCCTAATATTTATTACTAAGGGACTTAAAGAGTCACCTTTTTGTGAGAATGACCCATATTATTATTGCAAAATTTTTTGTGCCATATAATTGAAAAAAAAAATAATATCAAAAATATTAATAAAATAGAGATTACAGCCTCTTAGGGATAAAACTTGTTTTTCTATTACAGTATTTCAGGGTGCATCATTTTTTTTAAAACTTCTTGAACCACCTTAGCATGAAAATATATTATAATGAGATGTAAATGTAATACGAAATTCATGTTCGTTAAGATTTAATTTAGATTTCGTTGTTTGTGAGGTTTTTATTTTCGATATCAAAGCAATTACAATCGCATTCATGAAAATCTATCAGAATTCAATCTCTTCTAATCAGCGTAATTATTCTTTTGCACAACTAAACCCATTAATTTAAAATTTGTGATGACTTTTTAGAAAGGGAGCTATTTAAATATGATTCATTAATAAATTGGTACAAACATTTAATGTCATAGAAATATTAAATATTTAGTGCTTGGTGTTTTCAAAAAAATGAGAATTATAGATTTTGGATAGCATTTGTAAGTGCAGTCTGTTGACGGGTAAACAAAATTTGATTAAAGAAAATTCGATATCAAAATTAGGAATAAAAATTTAATTTTCTTTTAAATTGGTTTAGAAGAATATAAGCATGGGCTATCCCCATAAACTTTTAGTGTTCAGTTTTTTCTAAAATAAAATTCGAAATATCGATTATGGATCGTATTTACAAGTGTGATCCATTTATTGGTAAATAAATTTTGATTAAGGGAAATTACTTGTAAAAAAAAAAAATCAATTTTCGAATATGTAATTTTCTTTTTTAATAGGTTCAGAAAGAAATGAGATGAGAAATCTGAACACTTTACCCGCGATATTCAGTATTGATGTACGGCTCACTCTTTTCTCTCGTCATTTGAATAATTTAAGTTCTGCTGGTCAAAATGAATCTTGGACATATTCCAGTTAAAAAACTTATAACCTGGCCAAGTTCTAAGGAAACATTAAGAGTGTGTTGTCATGAAATTCGTTCTGCTGTTAATACCACCATGGGACCACCGCCTAGCTATATAGGAGGACACGAAGGAAAATTACTTCAAGTCGTCTTTGAAGCTTTAGGGTTAAATTTCGATATTGTGATCCCTAATGATGATGCATGGGGAATGCCAGATGAAAACAATGTTTGGTCAGGATGCCCGGGCATGATCCAAAGAAATGAAGCCGATGTAGCAACGTCTGCTATGCTTCAAAACTATTGGAGCTTTCAATTTTCCGACCAGTCATTCAGCTACAGAGATGAAGGCGCCTACTTTGTAGCCAAGACTCCTGGTTTTGTTCCGAAGCCTTTCGTTATTTTCCAGACATTTAAAGTCGGTGTATGGATATCAATTTTGATTACGCTTTTCGTTCTTGCGTTGGCGTATTATTTCATTATGGGTAAGAAGTACTCATACGGTAGCCAATTGTACAGCAGAGTCGCTGAGTTATTGCTTCAAGAGCCAACGGTCAAAATCATTCCTAAAGCTTCTCAGGAAATAATAACTTTGTTTTGGTCAATTGCAGTTCAGTTTTTAACATTATCGTATGTGGCGGTTATTTTGACAGCTATGATGGCACCCAAAACGGAGCGGCCTATCAACAATGAAGAAAGGGTCTTAGAAGCTGTGCGATCAGGAAAATATCAAGCAGTTACGCCTATGGACATGCCAATGTATCTGGATAACTTATTAAATAATGCTAGACCCACTTTCGTGAAAATTGGTGAAATTATACGGGATAACAACTGGAAGTACGCAATAACCAGGAAGAACTATGCAAAGCACCTGAAAGATAATTGGATCATTGCCACATCTATGTTTACGCGCCAATTGAACAATCCACTTGGCAACCCGATTGTGGTATCCGAAGATCCGATTTATCATGCTAGATTGTGTTATCTAATGCGAAAGAATTTTCCCTTTAGACACAAATTAGATAATATTATGATGCGAATATTGGAGGGTGGAATTTTCACAAAATTATACGAGCATGATCTCTTTCAAAGGAAGTTGAAAGACATAGACGATTTTCGCGACACACATGAAGAAACTGGATCTTTTAAGATTCTTTCACTGGTAGATCTCCAGGGTGCTTTCTATGTACTCATTTTTGGTTACTCAATTTCCGCGATTGCTTTGTTGTTTGAAATTATCGTTGATAAATGCGTAAAAAAAATGGAAAACGATGATGGATCGTTAGAAGTTTCCGTAAATAAGCCTTCGCCAACAGCAGAAAACAATGATGATTTAATTTTAGAATAGGCCAAAATAGAATTATTGGCATAGTCACTATTAAACGTTATCAATGCCTTGCATAAACATTGTAGCACCATGTATTCGATTCTTATTAATATTGTTATTTACATTCAGAATTTTGAAAAAAATCCTTTTGAAACTGCCAGCGATTTGTAAAAACTGGGCAAGAAGTATAAAATTGGAAGGCGTGTCAGTTGTTTTTTTTTTTTTATCAAGATTTATATCTGGATAATAAGAAAATAAAAATTGAAAATAAGTATTATTAAAGCGATTTTAAATGAAAATTTCTGAAAAATATATGCAACACATTTCACACGCTTCAAGTCACTGAAACTAGACACCTTTTTCAGCAGCACTTTGTATCCAATTATTATTGATATTGTGGTTGATATTTAGAATTCTCAAAAAATCCATTCAAAACTGACAATGTTATGCAGAAACTCGACAGAAAGTACAACACTGGAGGATGTATAGGTCACATTTCTTTTTCTTTTTTACTTTTTTAATCGATTAAAATTTAGATAAGAAAACTACGACTGAAAATAAGTATTATTAATACATTTTTAAAGGAAAATTTCCGCAACATATAGGCAACTTTATAATTTTAAACGTTTCAAATATGTAATACTAGACACGTTTTTCTGCCAACTGCGTGATCTATGTTTAGAAATTGAGACAATAGACATAAAAAATTTCTCAAGTGGGATTTTGATTTAGTATAATATTCAGGGATTCTGCGGTATAAGTATCCCAACAAGCATACGACTTTTGGACCAGTGAAGGTACAATGTCGATTCACCCAAAGTGCCATTACGGCGGACTTTTCATCGCCGTATCAGTTCCGTTAATAAAGTGAAATCTGGCCCAAAAATGAGGCCCGTGATGGTATTTCAGGTAAAACTTCTGGAAATCGTTAAAGGACCGGAACTACTTTGTTGCCTTTGGATTGCTTTGCCATTTTTGCCTGTCAAATACCGGAAAACAAATTTCATTTCACAGAATAACGAGAAAATTGCCATAAAAGCTTTTATTGTACCTTTATGATGTTTTTTTGCCTTTTTATCATAAGCTGAATACGTTCACTGGCACACGTCGTTGCCTCGCTTGACGTTAAACCACCTTAACTCAGGGCTGATTTGAAAACGTCTATGCCGTCTTTGCCGCTATCGCACCTTTATTTCAGGAGCTTAAACGAATTTCTTTGCCTTATTTGCCGATATACCACCCTTAACTCACCTTACACTTGGTTCATTAGAAAATTTTAATGCCGCCCTTGCTGGTATCACACCTTTATTTTAATTATCTCAGCAATTTTTTGTCACTAACTTGCCTTTTTTTATTAGAACTTCTCGTAGCTTTTAATTTCAAATGCTTCAACAAATTTACTGTATGTTGTTGATAACAATTCTTATTTAGGGAACATATATTGTCACGAGCGTTTGTTTTACTCTGCTGATATCAGCGATAGTAATTTCTTGCATTTTAGCTACTTATATTGTAATAAAACAATAACTATCATTTCATGCAAAATATTTTAAGGCGATATAAAAAGCAAAATGATGTGTAAAAAATTTAATTCATATTCAGTTATCATCCAATGAATCTTCTTACATAATAAAATAGATTTCTTTTTTATTTCATTTTAATCAATTATAAATGCAATAACCTAAAAGAAGAAGCATATAAAAACATTGTGTGTTTAATTGAGTGTTCACATTTTTTATACATTATGAAGTAAAATTAAATAAAAAATTTTATTCTAAGATAAAACATACTGAGACTTAATGCATAAGTTATTTAAGTTATGAAAAAATTGAAAATAATGCATATACTATATGGGTCATTCTCACAAAAACAGTCATTTTCATGTCCCCAGTATATTTTATGTTTGTTTTACAACTTACGAAAAAAAATTTTCAGGGAAAGTGTCCTTCAGAATGCAAGCTAACAAAAGAATAAAAATAAAATTATCAATTTTTATTTTTTATTTATTTTAGGTAATTAAAATATACCAATATGTCATTCCCTCACTTGTCCCCACTGCTGATTTAAAAAAAGAAAAAAATTGTTTCTGAAATAAAAATTTTTTTTTTACAAATTCGTGTTTTTTATTTCAGAATACTGAAATATAGAATTCAGAAAATCAATTTTAAATTTAATTTCTGATAAAAATATTAACACAGCACTATTTTAAACTTTGTCCCCAGTGTTTCGCGTCATTCCCTCACAACAATGTTCTTATCACCTGCAATCTTCTTAGAATAAAAATATTTTAATAAAAACTTCAGAAGTTAACAACTGGCATCATAGAACAAAATTGCAGTATGTTTCCATCTTCAACTTAAAGAAGCTTTGCTGTGGAATAAATTTGAATGAATCAAACCAGGTAAAATTTTTTACATTTGTCATTCCCTCATGTCATTTTTTAGAGTAAAATAAAATACAACTTCATCGAGAAAGTGGATAATTATATGTTGCTTTCTTGTATGAATATAATTGTATGTGATTGACTTCAGAAATTAATTAGGCCTAACTGTTATTTTTAAATTTTATTGAATTCGTCATTCCCTCACTAGTGTATAAAGTGAGGGAATGACGCTGAAGTGAGGGAATGATTCAAGATGAGTATATTATTAAATTTTTTTTTGTTCAATCGTGCCAGCCAATTTTATTTCCCAAACCTGTAAAAACTATTAAATATATAAGACTAAATTATAATAAATATTAGATATACTTAGTATGTTATCATTTTCAAACTTTAGGTAGATGTAACTTAGATAAAAACATGTATTAAAATAAAATATCATTCCCTCACTATTAGTGTCATTCCCTCACTTTTTAAATAGTGAAAATAATTAATTTACTTATTAATTAATTTGAAAAATAAATTAAAAAATTAATAAATTAATTTATTAAATTAATTAATTTATTTATTAAATTAATTAATTAATTATTAATTATTATAAATTAATTAATTAAAAATTAATTTATTATAAATTAATTAATTATAAATTAATTATTTGAAAAATTAATTAATTTAAATATTAAGTATAATTTATAGGATATATACTTTCTTTATAATGCCATTACATATTTCTATTAATATAAAAAGTATCAGAGCTATTTATTCACTTTACTTTTTTGGGATTTTATGAACTGAAAAATGGGTGTTTTCGTGAGAATGACCCATATACTAAACCTACTATTAGCTGTTCTTGATAGAAACAAACCCACAACCCAGTCATTATTTTTCTATTCAATATTAGATAACTTTTTATTCAATAACTTTCTATTTTATTCAATATTATTCATATTCAATAATAGATAAACAAGATATATCAAAGAATTTTTTAAAAAAAAAAAATACTGGGTTCCTGTAAATAACGCATCAATTTCTATAATTTTAAATAAATAAAGCAAGAATTTTCGCAAGAGTAAAATGCTTAAAATTTAAAATAAAACATGACCTTAAGAAAAGAGTATTATTTTATTTCCATGTAACAAACCCAAAATACAAGCAAATACATAAAAACTGTATAATAACTTCGTACAATAACTGTACAATAATAGGCATCCAATTCCAGAATGAACCCAGTTTTCCTGCAAAAAATTAAGCAATTTATTTTACTACAGATACATAAAATAATATGTACAGAAACAAAATATCTAATTAATTTCTGACTCATTTTAATTCTGGGTTAAGTTATATCATCAATTAATTCTAACGATTCAAAATACTTTTATTGATCCCAGGGAAATATTCCAAAAAAATTCTATCCAATAATTTTTAACAATTTAGTTTGTCTTTTTTAAATATCCTACGTTATAGAATTTAATAAAGTTACTCAAACCACCTGGTTTTTTTTCTTATTATTATTACTAGCACGCATTGATTGTCACAAAAATAAATTTTAACTGATTGTAACAAAAGGTAATAATAGCACAAAATGAATAATCCATTTTGTAATAAAACTAAGAATTATTTTCTTTTAAAATTCCATAGCACTTTGTAATATCTATTGCAAATGTGTGAAATAGCGGATTTATTTGCATGGAACAAATTGCAGCATCAAATATTAAAGCAACTATGAATAATATCCTATGAATTAACGAAACAACCTGAGTAAAACTTCTCTTTATACTATTATGAGACAATTAATTAGTTTAAAAATAGAGAGAACTATGATTTACTTTAAAAAAGTTAAAAGTGGTGACCAAATTTCTTTACTTTAAACTCATCTGTTATAAACTATTAACTTTTAAAATGCTACCATAAGTTGGAAAACTAACTGAAGCGATGCATATCACTTAACACTGTTTATATACTGCATTTTGTAACTACAGATTGATCCATTTAATAATTGAACATAAAATGTATTTTAAATAAAGAATTTGATAGCGAAGCTTTAATATTTTTTTAAATTAGAAGGAATATACAACTTTATTGTTTTTACGCAGATGTAACCTGCCTGCACTTGTTTGCGATCGTGCATCAATTGGTTAACATTGTAATGCAATACGTTAAAAATAAATACAAATAGGAACTATATAAAAAGTCTCCTTAATAAAAACCCGTTACATGTATGTTTAAATATAAAAGTATAGCATATAAACACGTGCAAAACATGTAATTATTAAAAAACTTCAGTGTATCTAATAATTTTACCTAATTATTATAATATACGAATATAATACCTGATATAATAAGGATTCCATATTTATATTATCTAATTTATCCAATCATCGAATTTATATTATATATCGTCTAGTTTAACCCATTGATACACGAACGTAAACAAGTGCAAACCGGTTTCAGTCATGTAAAAAAATAAAGCGGTATATAATTAAGATTTTACGTACAATCTTTTAGTACGTCTAATAATTTGGCCTGGGACTGTATATATATATATCTTCCTGGTGACTGTTTTTGTGAATAGTGAGGAAAAATAAATCACGTAAAACTGCTGATTTTTCTTCAGGTATAACGACAATAAAAAAATAATGTTCTGACAATTAAATTAATTATTGAAGTTGTGGCAAATAATATATAGCGGATATTGTTTCATTAACATTAAACAACTAACACTAAAAAATGGAGTTACATATTTATTATGAGACAATTAATGGTTTGATAGTGATATGACAGAGAATATGATTTTATATGCATTCGCTTTCGATCGCAAAAACAACAACATTCTCCAGTAAATCAAGCAGAGCTAATATCTGTGGATTCAATTCATCTTGGAAAGAGTGACCAGTCTTCTGCTCCAGAATTAGTGACTTTAATTCTGTGACTGTATTTAGGGATAGAGGCGACGACCACGTGACAATTTCCTTCACATGATTCCAGTCAGCATCAGTTAGTGATTGCTTTAAGATTAGATCCCTTTTAATTCCTTTCTCAGATAATATCAGTTCGTTTTTGTATCGCTTTACTTCATTGATATTATCGAAAGATGCATTCAAAAGTAGGGTGGCACTTTCAAGAAAACTTTTACCCAGTGCATACTCTATGCAACTACGACAAATAAGTCGAAATTCTGCAACGTTTTCAAGAGAAGACAAGTTATATTTTATAAATTTTTGCAACACATCGCCTTCTCTTTTTGATAAAATGAATGGCATGTCTATGAATCGCTTGAAAAAGTAATTACCACTTACTCGTAAAAAGTCTGCTTTAAATTGTTGAATTTCCTCTCCCGTCTGGAAATACCAATTCAGAAACTGGTCCACACGCTCATAATTGGATAAAAATATTAATGTCAAATAGATAACATGTGGAGATGATATTGTTTTCTTAAATGTTTCGATTCGCACCGATTGATAAACCCATCTTAAGAAGGACTCAGCTGCTTGGATGTTGCCATCGCATATCCATTCAATACAAATATGCCAATCGCTAAATCTAATAAGCCATGATATTATCAGTCTATCTTGCTCTCTTTGCTCTGTAAGGTTGATTTTATGGGGATAACATTCTGGTGGCAAGGTAGATTTTGATAATAACACATGAAGCAAATTCAGATTGCTTGGGTAAATAGCATGACGAAATTCAGGCCGACCAAACATATAGCAGATAAATAGTTTAATCTCTTCTTTGGAAGCATCATTTAATATCCTAACAGCCATGTTCAGATTTTCTAATTTCAGCAACTGCAATAACACTTCGCGGCAAAAAAATTTATTTTTCAGAAAGGATTGTCTCAGACTTAATGGACTGGCACTCCATATTTCTTTAAAAATCTTCATTTCATTTCCCATTTTACTCATCTTAGAACTAATTTGCAGCATTATAAGTGAATAAATGTCTTCTTGAAGATCATCCAATACCTTAAAAAAAATGGACAAAAATATTCTTTGACATGGCCAACTGTCGAACAAAAGCACTATTACGTGAGAAAGATTCCGAAAAAATTCGGTTATTTGAGTTTTACGATGGACATGAGATAATAAAAAACATAAAACATCTAAATAACAAAAATTGACGGAAAACGGAGAGTCGGAAGGGTCTTGATCTAGAAAACGTAGATATCGAGTAGCTTGCAAAAGCCACTTACTCAAATGATCGTTTTTCTCCTGCTCCGACAATTTCTTCCAGAAATACTTGAGGGCAACTATGTTACCACTTTGAATCGAGCAAGCAATCATATTTATATCAATACTAAACTTATCATCGTATATGTTTTCAAAATCTAGTAGTCTAGTTAGTAAACACCCTAAATTATTCTCGAAGACACATGTCCAATATATTGACAAATTACCGCAGTGCATTCTAAGGTTGTTTCTAAATTGTTCTGGAACTTTCTCCCACAAAATTGAAGCATATTCCCCTAAAAAGTGACAGCAGACTGTTCTATACACATCACAAATATCTAAATTTCTCAAGCTGCCATGATCGAATAGTTCCGTAAGTAATTTCACTGTATCAACTGTTCCCTCAACTGTCCAATAAATTGTACCACGCTTCATGTAATACTCACAGAGATTTCTTGTCCACTTACGGTAAATACGAAACAATTTATGCAACTGCAACTTAATGGGTCGAATGACGTATGAGATTTCGGTCTTCAGCGATGAGGGTAAAGAGCTATTGGACAATTTTTTTAATATTCTTCTCTCCAACTCAGCCGTATATCCGCTATAGTTTGAGAAAGAAGATAAGAAAGAAGATGTCATTTCATTCCTTATGTCAGGCGCCGTCCATAGCCCAATTGCAATCGACACTACTGCAATATGCTGCAGAGAAGGAGGTTCAGGAAAATTGTTTATGAAGTCGATTTCAGTCGATTCTGTTTTAAAAGTTTGTGTCCAGCTTCCAGATCTTTTTTCCTTACTGACGCCACCTGTAAAATACAATTCGAAATTTAGTTTTGAACTAAAGATTCGAATGAAAACAGTTCAAAGAACGTAATGCATACATAATTAATCACGATCCTAGGTCATACATTTAATCTACATGTTACTAGTTAAGGAGAAATGAAGCATTGTTTACAATACTTAGGCTATGTCTAATGCACTTTAGCAATTTTTTGCTTTTAAACACAACTTTGTATACTTTTTTTAACTTAAGATATTTTTCAAGAATCGGTTATTGAATACATTATTGAATACCAATTATTAATTACTTCTTTGTGGTATCGCGCAATGGTAATTTCGTGTAGTTCAATCAACTGGTATTTGCAGGTGGCACAAAACATGAGTTGTCATATATTGATAAGTAAGACATCTATATTTTGTTTGAACTTGCAGTATGATGAAAGATTTTAGTTTTTAGCTATGAACATTTCAATAAGAGTGATAAGCATTAAGAAATCTTATTAATCGTATTTAGTTAGACTAAAGGCTATTAATACATCTTAATAATTTAAAAAAAAAAAAGAAATTGAATTCAATGAACTATGCGCATTTGTATTCAGAAGTACATGATTTTTTAAGAAATTCAGAAAAAATACGTTTTAGTGTCTGATTTCGTCACTATAAATATAGCCTGCACTAATTGAATAGCATATTTAAGTTCACTCCCTTGAACTACTAATAAGTTATTCAGTATGATTCGTTTTACATTATTTTTTGCGCATTGCATAGTGTGCAAAAAAAAAGAAAAAAAAAACCTAAATAACTTTCTTCCTAATGGTTGGATTTTCACGTATGCAATCTTAATGGTTTCTACGGGTAACCTCAAACATGAATAAACATAAATTATTTTTACATATATTTGGATTCTAGACCTGCAAAATATAGGGGGTAGTTGCGATTTGGAAATTGTGACCCTAATAGTTTTGGTTTGGAGAGTGGATGAAATTTTGTTCCCCTTAATATTAATTTTCCCTGTTGTGTTTTTAGTAATATCTTAATAATTAAATGAGCAAACTTTCACTCACTTATGAAACCCATCTACTGAAAGATAATTTCACTTAAGCAAAAATTTTTAATAATTATTTATTAATTAATTTAATTGTGGATGAAAAAATTTTGAATTATGAGGTATAAATTTTTATACACCATATAACCCCAAGTATTTTTCTATAGCAAAATTAAAATTTTAACTGTTTTTATTTAGTAGAAGACGAGATAAAATAAAATTAAATACTTTTTACAAAATGATTTAGTGTAGAAATATTTAAATGTGGTTAACGTATGAGGAATTTACGCATGCGTGGCGTAAAATTTCATTAATATTGTTTCCGCCGAAAGTTAATCTTTTTTTTTAATTATGAAATACGATGTTTCTTTTTAAGTGATCTGAAAATTTACTCGTAATTTAGCAAAGACATTCGAATAAAACATTATATTTAACGAATGTTGAGTTTTATAAAATTATGTTTCGAATAAAATAAGGTCATACATCTGCTTTTTTTTTTTAAAAATTTTTAGTAAGTTCATTGAATTGAAAAGGGCACTATGGTTTAAAAAAAGGGCAGCAAGTTTAAAAAAGGGCATTGTATTTTATAAAACGGGCAAATACCTTAGCATTCTTTGCATAATTTAAATGAATAATTATGTATAAGCTTATTTTTATCACTAATAATAATTATTATTATCAAATGCAGAACTACAATTTTCTGAGGAAAAAGGCTACAGTTTGAATTGAAAAACTAAAAAAAATCAAACAATGTTTTTTTCCTTTATCTCAATATTTCTTAGTTCTCTAAAAATATATTTAAAATTTTGCACATGCCTTTAAAAGACCTAGGGAAACAACTAAAATTTTTCAAATATGTCTTTCTTTCTCGAGTTGATGATTAGAATAACTATTTTCAGATAAAAAAAATTAATATTAATCTTGAAAATAAACTTATTAAGTATCTGGCTCACGTGGGTGCCACTCTTCAGTCCTGAGGACTGAAATCAGTCTTAAGGAAGGATCCAGATTATTGAATTTAGACCTTCATTCAATATATATTTCTATTTTATTTTTTAAATTAATTTTTCAGAAAAAAAATTCAGTTAAAATAAATAGAAAAAATAATTGCTTCTTTTTTTTAAATATTGTTATTTTTATATTGAGTGTTATTGACTTAACTTGTGTAAATAATATTTGTATTTTTAAATCAGAATCTACTTGAGTTTAAATTATTTTTCTCAATATTTTGAAATGCAGGGCAAAGTTAAACGAAGATTATGTTTTAAAAAAATTATTTAGGCGAAAACATTAATGATGCAGTGAAAGATAGAGGTATCAGTGACTCTATGAAAAATTTAGAATTTAGTAATTAGAGTAAAAAGATATACAAGGTTTATCTGTAATTTTTTATTTGTTCGTTGTAAGAAATAAGTTAATAAAATAAAATAAAAAGCAAAATTTAGAAAAAATAATGAAGTTAATTACATAATACATAGACCATTCTCATGGTGGGGGATCTATAATTTTCTGAAATATTCTGCTTAATAACAGACCGGGTTAATTGGTCAGAAAATAAGTTCAGTCTTGAATTTTTTTTTACAGTGGTACCCATGTTGACTCACCATTACAAACAAATAAAATAAGCTGCTGTTGAAAATGAAGTTCTGAACAAAAAAAATTTTTACAATAAAAAACAATATTTACAAAAAAAAAATGCAAAGTAAAATTCATATTTTCAGTCATTTTAAATAAAACATACTGGAATTTTTGTACTTTAATTCAGTAGCAGCAATAATATCAAACTTATAAAGAACTTCACATTCATCTTTAACTTAATATCAGATCTGATAATTGCAATGAATCCATGAAAGGGTAAATAAGGCTAAAGGAATTTACAGAGCAATTAACCCCTTAACTGCAGCGGGCGTATATATACGTCTCGGCCAGACGATGTGTTAACTGCCGTAGGCGTATATATACGCTTTCCCGAAGTACGATGCTTTGCATTGCGCTGCTATAAATAGAACTACACCCCCACTTNATTAAAAAAAATATGTAAAAATAATTTTTATAGTTATGAAGTTATTTAAAAAAATAATACAAATAAATAATCTGTGTGCAATCAAAATTAAATCCTAATTAATGTAAGAATATTTTTGAACGCAAAAATGCAATAAACAGTTTAAACATCTAATACATTAGCATCGATTAGAATATTAATTACAGGAAAATAAAATTGTAATAAAGTATTACTATAAAAATAAATTATGTAAAAAAAAAACTTTAAAAAAGGCTTTTTTTTTAATCGATTCTAGGAAAAAAAGGTACGGAAAAAAAGGTCCCAGAAAAAAAGGTACCTGTGTAGGGAAAATTCTGTAGGGGAAAATATTTGAAATGAGAAGATTAGATTGAAGCGCTTTTTGCTGTTCAGTGCATGTTTTTTTTTGTTTTTTTTCGTGTCGCGCGCTTTCAAAGTGCTTTTAATCCAACTTTTGTTTCTTACTCATGCATTTATTCTTAAAAAGTTAATTAAATATGAAAATGCTCAATAAAATTGTTTATTTATTTATTGAACATAATAAATAAATAAATAAAATAAATAGAGAAATTAAACATACCCAGCTTATAAAAAAGAAATACCGCGACTCTAATTAAAAAAAGACAAATACTTTCCTTTCACCTCAATTAAAGAATAAGCATCCGACACAGAAATCCGCCCACCTTCCTCAATCGGCTAATCTGAATAACAACACCCTTTTCAAAAAATAATCTTCCCCTTAGAAAAATAAAAACAAAAAAGAAATTAAATACACCCAGCTCATAAGAAAAGAAATATCGCGACTCTAATTAAAAAGGACCAATACTTCCACCTCCAATCACGAATAAACATCCAACGCATAAATCCTCCCAACTTCCCCGATTGGCAACTTTAAGCCTCACATTAGCAACTTCTTCACAAAATATAATTTAAAATAGAAAATAACACATTTTTCACTTAAAAATTACAAAAAAAAAGTAAAACATTATTGAAAAATATAAATAGTATCTTCCCGCTTTAAAAAATAATCAAAGAAGAATAAATAAATGAAATAATTTTTTTTTTTAAAAAAAGCGTAATACAACCAGCCCATAAGTCCCCCCTACCTCAATGATCTAATCTAAATTATTACAGATAAAAAGAATATTCATTGAAACAGCGAGAAGCATTCATGCTGTCCAGAAAGCGAGAGGGGAAATATCCCTACAGATTTTCCCTATGGAGGTACCTTTTTTACCGGGACCTTTTTTTTCAGGGACCCTTTTTTCCGTACCTTTTTTTCCAGGAACCTTTTTTTCCGTCTACCATTTTTATCACCAAATATCAAATCACCCTAAAAAGAAACTGACAAATCAAAGTACAAGCAAAAAAACGAATAAAGGATATTATATATATATATTATCTTTATCGTAGTATTTTAGTCTTTGTTAAAAAATGAAATAAATTATCCCAAAATATGAAACAAAGTTGCAAGATTACAAAAAATAAGCGGCGAAATTATTAATAAAAAATAAACAAACTAATAAATAAAAAAGCAACTTTTCAAAAACTAAGTCATTCTAAAGAATAGTAAAAATACTACCCAATAATCTACATTGTATCGAAGTAAAATCGTACTTCATCAATTCATGAACGTTTGCAAGAACAGAAGAAAAAAACCCGGAAAAAATAATAAAAATGATATAAGTCAAGATTTTCTGTAACATAATAAAAAAAACTAATTATAAATAAGATGGATTAATAGATAAAAAAAAAAGAAATATAAATCACGATGTTAAAACAACGAAATTAATAATAAATAATTAAACAAAAAAATTGCTTTAATGATAAATACTAAATCAGCACAAAAACTAATACTGAATTCGACGATAGGATTAATTAGACAATAAATATAGAATATTTATCATATCAGGTATAATATTAGTATATTATAATAGTTAGAAAAAATTATTAGATTCATTGTAGTGTTTTAATAATGACATGCTTTGCACGAGTCTATATGCAATACTAGTATATTTAAACACACATGTAATGAGTTTTTATTTATGAAATTTTTGATATACTTCCTAAGAGAGAAACAACATCTCAGATTTATATGGAAAAAAAAAACGAAAAAAGCTCTTTTTCAAAAGTTAATAAGGAAATACTTATTTAATTCGCAAAATACATTTCAGTAAATTTTATTACGGAAAATAAATCTTCACATTAAAAATTATTTATGAGTATTTTATTATAATTCAGTTAACTATATATAGAATGGTTATAAGTACTTACCATTATCATTTGCAATACCATAACTTTCCATCCTTACAGTTTTAAACACCTACTCTGAATACACTAAACTATATTTCTTTTCTTGAGGATCCTTGAACTCATAAGATTAATCCCCGTACATTTCAGAGCAGTTCATTCTTGCATATGCATGCAGTGCATATGTTGCCCATTCATCAATGTCCGATGTGAATTGTTGACTTCCTTGAATAACCACACCTTACTTACTATCAAATGAATGGTTTCTTATCTACTTTTTCTATTGCAGAATTCCAAAACAACAATACTTATTGGTAAAATGACATTCATCCTGACTGCTTTTGAGAAGAGGGCCTGGGGAAAATCTTTTCATGGCAAATTGTCAGAAAATTAATTATTATTTGACTGTGGAAAAAAATTTTTTTTTTGCAAATTAAGCATGAGAAAAATAGTAAAGTAATTAAACTAAAAATCATGGAATTCAAAAAAATTAACTTTGAATAGGAAATTAAGATTCCTTTCAAAGTTAAAGTTCATTTAATTTAAATCAATTAATTACCATTGAATTTGATTTTAATATATTTTATTTAATGAGTCGCTTAGTATTTGATTGTGTAATTTATTATTTAATCTTAAGTAGAAAAAATTAATAATAGCTAGTAAAACTAGTTTATTAAAAAACTATTTGCAATATGTAGAATAAAATTAAGCAAATTATAATCTGGCATTTGATTACGTAAAAAAATTCAAGTAATATTGATATAGAAGTCAAATTTGTTAGCAAAATCCGAGTAAAAAAATGGAACGAAAAAGAACATGAAATGTGCAATAAATAATTTTGCTTTATTCTATAGTTTAACTGTATTAAAAACAGAAATATCATAGTTACTGTTCCATTTCAATAATAAATTATAAATAACGCTTAATGTTAGTTACTTATCGGGATTATTCTAATACAATTATGAATTTGAATTTATTAAAATTATATAACAGATAAATTTTTTCTGTTAAAATCAATGCATAAATTAATTATAATTTATTGCTAATCATTAATTTCAGAATTTGACTACTTGAAGTTTTGTCCTGTCGAAGTTATGTTCACACGAATCTTTGCTCTCGCGAAGTTTTGTCCGGAGAAGGTTCGAGCAAGAAGGTCTGCCCCATTACCTTTGCCTCAATTAGGGAATCAGAATCATATCTGTTAAAATAGCGAGAAAAACTTTCATAATGCGAGAAATAATTTCAGTCCCTTTTTCAAAAAATTACATAAAATAAAACGTATCTTTCATAAATAAATAAAAACATTTTACATTAAAAACCCCTCCTTAAGAAATAAGTCGCACTCAGTATCCTCTCCCTTTTACCTCAATTCACAAATCTGAATCATACCTGTTAAGAAAGCGAGAAAAAGTTTCATGATGTAAGGAATCGTTTTTGCTCCTTCTATAAATAAAAAAAAAAATATTTAAAAAATCTGTCACAAAAATAAACACTTTTACACCTCCTAAAGAGGAAGTTTNCATTTCATTCCTTATATCAGGCGCCATCCATAGCCCAATTGCAATCGACACTACTGCAATATGCTGCAAAGAAGGAGGTTCAGAAAAATGATTTATGAAGTCAGCTCTTTCAGTCGATTCTGTTTTTGAAGTTTTGGGTGTCCAGATTCCATCTGTAAAATACAATTTTTAACTTTACTATTGAATTAAAGATTCGAAGGAAAACAGTTCAAAGAACATAATGCATACGTAATTTATCATGAACCTAAGTCATACATTTAATCTACATGTTACGAGTTAAGAAGAAATCAAGTATTGCTTACAATACTTAAGTTATGTCTAATGCAATTTAGTTAATATTTTATGATTATTTTTTCTTTTTTTGTTTTTAAACTCAAATTTGTTTAATTTTTTTTTTAACTTGAGATATTTTTCAAAAATCGTTTTTTTGAATGCATTTTTGAATACCAATTATTAACTACTTCTTTGTAGTATCGCGCAGTGACAATTTCGTGTAGTTCAATCAACTGGTAATTGCAGGTGGCTAGCATAAAATATGAGTAGTCGCAAGATATACGGTATCATTGACTCTATATTTTGATTGAACTTGCAGTATGATGGAAGATTTTAGTTTTAATCTTTGTACGTGACATAGAAAAGGATACGCATTAAGAAATCTTATTAATCGTATTTAGTTATACTAAATGCTATTAATACATTTTAATAATTTAAAAAAAAAGAAGTTAAAGTCAATGAACTATGCACATTTGTATTCAGAAGTACATAATTTTATAAGAAATTCAGAAAAAATACGTTTTAGTGTATGATTTCGTTACTCTAAATATAGCCTGCACTAATTGATTAGCATATTTAAGTTCACTCCCTTGAACTACTAATAAGTTATTCAGTGTGCTTCGTTTTACATTCTTTTTTGCGCATTGCATAGTGTGCAAAAAAAAACCTGAATAACTTTCTTTCTAATGGTTGGATTTTCACGTACGCAATCTTAATGGTTTCTACGGGTAACCTCAAACATGAATAAACATAAATTATTTTTACGTATATTTGGATTCTAGACCTGCAAAATATACCTGGAAATTGTGACCCCAATAGTTTTGGTTTGGAGAGTGGATGAAATTTTGGTTCCCTTAATGTTAATTTCCCCTGTTGTGTTTTTAGTAATATCTTAATAATTAAATGAGCAAACTTTCACTCACTTATAAAACCCATCTACTGAAAGATAATTTCACTCAAACAAAAATTTTTAATAATTATTTATTAATTTATTTAATGGTGGATGAAAAATTTTTGAATTATGAGGTATAAATTTTTATATACCATATAACCCCAAGTATTTTTCTACAGCAAAATTAAAATTTTAACTGTTTTTATTTAGTAGAAGACGAGATAAAATAAAATTAAATACTTTTTAAAAAATGATTCAGTGATAAATGCTTTAGTGTAGAAATATTTAAATGTGATTAACGTACGAGGAACTTACGCATGCGTAGCGTAAAATTTCATTAATATTGTTTCCGCCGAGAGCCGAAAGTTAATCTTTTTTTCAATTATTAAATACGATGTTTCTTTTTAAGTGATCTGAAAATTTACTCGTAATTTAGCAAAGAGATTCGAATAAAACATTATATTTAACGAATGTTGAGTTTTATAAAATTATGTTTCTAATAAAATGAGGTTATACATCTGCTTTTTTTTAAAAAATTTTTTAGTAAGTTCATTGAATTGAAAAGGGCACTATAGTTTAAAAAAAAGGGCAGCAAGTTTAAAAAAGGGCATTGTATTTTATAAAACGGGTAAATACCTTAGCATTCTTTAAATGAATAATTATGTATAAGTTTATTTTTATCACTAATAATAATTATTATTATTAAATGCATAACTACAATTTTCTGAGGAAAAAAGGCTACAGTTTGAATTGAAAAATTAAAAAAAATCAAACAATGTTTTTTTCCTTTATCTCAATATTTCTTAGTTCTCTAAAAATATATTTAAAATTTTGCACATGACTTTGAAAGACCTAGGGAAACAATTAAAATTTTTCAAATATGTCTTTCTTTCTCGAGTTGATGATTAGAATAACTATTTTCAGATAAAAAATGAATATTAATCTTGAAAATAAGCTTATTAAGTATCTGGCTCACGTGGGTGCCACTCTTCAGTCCTGAGGGGCTGTGCTCTGTCCATCCTAGGATTTTCCAACCTGAAGGTGGGGTAGAGGGTCATAACAATAGATATGATCCATCAATGTGTCAAAGGGGAAAATGTATTGTTATGAATAGATCTTTGAAGTGGGGACTTTTGAATTTTAACAGATGTCCATCGCCAAGTATTTGGCGAATGAAACATCTCTTTAGCAACCCCTAAAGATTATACCACCACGTGTTGTCAATATAGTATTTTTATCAATCAAGATGGATATATTTTTTCAAAATTTGGAGAAAAAAAATCCTGAAACATGACTATTATTTTCATGGGGAATTGAAGAACAAGACAGCTTGGTCTTGTATCAGAAAAGGAAACGGGTGTAGAGCATAAAACAGCAATTTTTTGTTAATTACTTGATGGTTCATTACACTATCACTTCATTTAACAAGTCCTATACATCTATCTGAATCATTTTAGTTTTGTTTTTTTCCTAAAAATCGATTAAAAAAAAGATTTTGTTTTTAAAATTCTCGTTACTCTTTTCAGCACATTTTTTTAAGATTTAATTTTATTTGTTAAAAATTTATAAATATAACTTTCTATCATATAACTGTTAAAATTACTAAATGTTTAAATTTGTTGTTAAATTGTTGTTAAAATGTTTAAATTTGTTGTTAAATTGTTGTTAAAATGTTTAAATTTGTTGTTAAATGTGAAATTGAACCGTTTATATTTTAAAACATTTCGATACAAATATTAACTTTTAACAGCATCAAATCATTGTTTTATTAAAATGTTTCAGTTTTTGTACCTTTTGACATGAAATCAAGTGTTAGTACTCGCATCCAAAATGAAAATTTCGAGAAAAAGAAAAGAATGGATATAATTTAAAATTAAATAAAAATAAAATTTATACCTTTCAGAGGTTTTAGAAACCTATAATAAGTAATGAAAAATTGCAAGTTTTTTAACACCCTATGCCAGAAAATCAAGAAATAAGCTTGGAACTTGTACCAATTACTTAAGTTGTTGTTTAAGTAACTGCATAACATATCGTAAACCTAGCGTAAATATTACTCGAGATATGATGATTTTTTTATTAAAAAAAAGCTAATTATTTGTTTTATGGTTTTTTGTTATAACTTAAATATTCAATGGAATTAAACAAACTTTTTGTTGCAATTTAAAATTAATTACAAATGTATTAAAAAAAATTGCAAAAAACCGTGCAAGATATGAGTATTTCAAGTAGTTCTTTTATGCTGCGCATGCGCTAAAAAGGAATTAAAAAAAACATGATCTGATTTTATAAATTCAAAAAGTTTCAAGCAGTTCAGGCCTCGTAGTCCATCAAAGAAAAAAAAGATCACGTCATTTTATTTTTTGAAACAGTCTACATACACCATACTATTTTTAAAATTAACTAAGATAAAACACAGTTAATAAGATTAATATTTTAAAAATATAAGTTCAATCAAATTTTTGGGAACAATAATTTACTAGACTTTTAATATTAG